TACTATCTTCCAGAATCATGACCCCCAAGTTTACCAGTTGTTGTTGTTGTTGTTTAGTCACTAAATTGTATCCAACACTTTTGAGACCGCATGGACTGAAGTCCGCCAGGCTCCTCTGTCCATGGAATTTCCCAGGAAAGAATACTGGAGTGGGTTGCCATTTCCTTCTTCAGGGGATCTTCCCTGACCCAGGGATCAAACCCGAGTCCCCTGCTTCGGCAAGTGGATTTTTTACCACTGAGCCACCAGGGAAACCCAAGTTTACCAGCAGAGGTTGGTAAAGTTTTTTACCACTTTTTATTCTACAGAAACACAACAGGAAGGCATTGTGTCCTGAGAAAATAAAGTCCTTTCATAGAAAGCAGATGTTCATGGTCAGTATATGAGAGGAGGTTCCCATTATGAAATGACCTCCCTACCTTTTTTTTTTTTTAATGACCTCCCTACTTTAGAGAACCCTAGCAATGATGGGAAATAATTTTGGGGATGAGATTTGTGCTTCAAGAAACAGGGAGCTTCAGTGAAATTAGGCTGGAAAACTCTATCAGGAAGGCTTAAAGATTTACATCCAATGTTTTCAAAAGATTCCTTCTTCTAGACTGCTCTCAACATTCTTTGTTCACCCTGAAAGAGTACCCTCAACCCACTGCTCATCCAAGCCTAAGCACTTACACTCTGTTTTCTGTCTCTGTCCCTGAGCTGAAGTAGCCACTGACCTTTGGAACAACAGATTCAATCGTCCCGTCTTAGTCCTCCTCCTTCTCAGCCACTCCGCTATATTTGATTCTGTTGGTCTTGTCCTTCTTAAAACTCTCTCCTACTTACCCTTCACTGCATTGCATCACCTTTGTGGTCCATGTGTCTCTGATCACTCCTCTCTATCCTTCAATTTCTTGTCCTTTCCCAAGTGAAGATATTTACCCTTAAAGTCTTCATTTTGCTTTTCTCTCACTCTATTTATTCTCCCTGAGCAAGGTCACATGTTCTCATGACTTCAATTATTGTTATTATGTCTTCTACAGTGTCTCCCTAGGCTCAAGTTCTCCAAGTAGCTCAAACCTGAATTTCCAACTGACTGCTCTACATATTTAATTTCCCAGAAGCACCTCAAAACACTAGTAGAAAGCTGAGTTTACCTTAACACCGCATTCTGCAACTCCTTTGGATTTCCCTCTTTTCTTCTCCCCAACATCCAACCAACCAGGCCTGGTGATTGCTCCAGTACAGTCCCTTGTTATCATTCCCACCAACATTTTCCTAGTTTAATCACTAATTGTCACTTACACAGGATGTTGCTCGATCCCCTAGTAACTTGCCAGCCTCCAAAATGTCCCTGCTCTTGTCTATCCCTTACATTGTTCACAGCCCCTTGGATTCATAGTTCAGTTGCTAAGTTGTGTCCGACTCTTTACAGCCCCATGGACTGCAGCATGCCAGGCTTCCCTATCTTTCACTATCTCCAGAAGTTTGCTCAAATTCATGTCCATTTTGTAGGTGATGCTATCTAACCATCTCATTCTCTCCCACCTCATCTCCTTTTGCCTTCAATCTTTCCCAGCATCAGGGTCTTTCCCAGTGAGTCAGCTCTTTGCATCAGGTGGTCAAAGTATTGGAGCTTCAGCTTCAGCAACAGTCTTTCCAATGAATATTCAGGGTTGATCTCCTTTAAGATAAACTGGTTTGATCTCCTTGCTGTCCAAGGGACTCTCAACAGTCTTCTCCAGCACCACAATTCGAAAGCATCAATTCCTTGGTGTTCAGCCTTCTTTATGGTCAACTCTCACATCTGTATATAACAACCCCTAGCTGCTCACAAATTTTCAATGCCCTTCCTCACCTCCAAGAGAAATAAAGATGCCTCATCCAAGAACAAGCCACACAATGTTATCCCAAGCTACTTTTCTAAGTTTCTTTTTCATGATTGCCACACAAGACCTGACATTCCAGGTCCTCCCCTAGTTTCTACAACTTCATCTCTTAGCCCTTCTTCCTTTGCCCAAATTTCTATATCTTCTCTATTAGGAAGACCTTGCCTTCCTCCAAGGTCAATATCAAAGGTAATTTTCTTCATGAAGGCCATCTTCACCCCACCCCCACTTAGATATGAATATTTCTCTTTGAATCACCATTATAGTCTGAACCATTTCCTTTCTTATGGTAGAGTGTATTAGCTATTTCTTTTTTAATAGTACACGTTTCATTTTTTCCCTTCAGTTGATTAGATTCAAGCCATCAGGAGGATAAATTTCCTGTCTTATTCACCTTTGCATCTCCAGAATCGAGGCCAGTTAAAATTTAAGAAAATCAAACCTGCTTTTCTCTCACCGAAATGAAAGTTAAAGTAAACAAAGGCTAGAGGCTTTTGCGGATGCTTTCAAATGGCATTTGGATTCAAAATTGGTTTCTTTTCTACATACAGAAATATAATCATTCCTCTATCTTGTAAGACAAACTATTATCCCGCTGATCACAAAACTGAAACTAGTTACCACTTTGAAAAACCTTGAAATGGGATGAAATAATGTAGAAAGCAATGGGGTAGCTTTTTTGAAGACATATCATAATACATAAATTGCTATATTACTATAAAATCATGGTGACACATTTTCCTAATCAACTAAAAAAAAGTATTACTTGGGCTACTAGAAAAAAATATACAATATGCACTCTACTTGTAAGATTTTCAAACCCCTAAAAACACTACTCATTAGAGGACAGCATTTTTTCTATTATGTTAGGAGTTCAGGCTCACTTCAATAAATATATTTGTGTTGTTTTATCTGGATACTTGAATAGTTCCAAGCAAAAGCATCCATCATACTGGTACCTTATTCTTCCCCCTCCTAAAATATAGCTGTCAATAAGATGCCTCAGACCTTCCATCAGGACCTTTCATAATACAATATTTTTTTTCCTTTTTTTGGCTACACTATGAGGCATGTGGGATCTTAATTCCCTGATCAGGGAGCAAATCAGTGCCTGCTGCAGTGGAAACATAGAGTCCTAACCACTGAACTGCCAGGGAAGTCCCAATACAGTCTTAAAATGGACAAATTTTTGCAACAATGTGAAAAATCTTTGTAGACAAGAGGGACGAGCAAGCCTGGGGAGACAAGCGAACCTGTTCCTCTGGACCTAATTGCCTGGCTGCAATCTCATTTTCCATCACACTTTATTTAACTTTTCTTTACTTATATCACATAAATTAACTCAGCAGCCATGCAGAATAATTTTGCTTCATTTAGATCTAAATTAATGAGCGTGATCACAAAGCCATGTGTACAATTTCAATGAAGATACACTATAATTATTCTATTGTATGGGTTAGCATTTCAGCCGTGTATTGATGTATTTTGAATGCGTAATATATGATGCTTTTGTGGTCTTCTGCCATAACACTCTACTGAAAAATGTCCTCCAGTTAAGAAATCCTAAAATAAATTATTAAACACAAAAGAAGGGAGAAGAAAGGGGAAAAAATTTCAAAGAATAAAGAAATGACACAGGGAGAAGTACACTCCCAGGAATTCATTTCCTCATATAAATTTTATTTCCAGATCGCTTCATTAAGTAATGCATTAAGTTGTGCAACAATAGATCATATTTTCTTCTCAGCATTTAAGTGAGGGGTTTTGCAGAGAGGGAACTCTGGGCATTTGAGCATATGTAAGAAATGGAGAAGAGAAATCACAAAAGAACATAGGCATTTATGTTTCTGCAGTCAGTCATGAGTTATGCCAGTAAGTATCAGCTTGAGACTATGAATTATTTCTGCCCAGGCCATACAGTTCATGGAGCCCTGCTCAGGGAACACTACACCCTTAGGGCAGGCAATTATATGTTTTTAGGATTAATCCCAAATAAGACAATGTTTCAGAAATAGACACACTCTCTTTTTGAAGAGCTTTTAGTCATAAAAAGTCATTTTTTCTTCCCGACCCCCTAATGCCTTCTAACCCCCCTTCTTTTCCCCTCCTCTATAAAAGGTATAAAACAGTGCTTCCACCTGCTAACACTCACAGACCAATAACTTTAATTTTTGGCACTTATTTACAGGCTGAATAGACCCATCCACACCTGCTTTCCCCTTAATTAGCTGGCTATCTAAAGGCTGCAGATTGGAGGCTGCCAGCTTCCTGAACGAAGAGGAAGATCATTTCATTGCTTATGTAAGAGAAATGGGGGTGGGGAAAGGAGGAAAAAGGATCTTTCTTTTACAGAAACCAGAGAGAGAAACATTAGTTCAAAAGGAGGAATCACTCATGAAGAATAAGGGAGCAATATGTACATATTGTTACATTATATATATATATATATATACACATATATATATATACACACACATATATATATATAAAACACATATATTATATGTTTATTTTTTAAAGTGACTCAAAGCCTGAAAAATAAACAACAGCCCTACCTGGCAGTGATACAGTCATTTCTACTTTAAAACACCTGAAATCTTCCATGATATCTAATTTTTTTCCCAATTTATTACTTAAGATGGCACCCCATATGTCCTCAAAGAGGTGAAGTGACCCCTAATAGAAGAAAAAGAACTGAGTTGGGGCCAGGTGTTCCCAAGGCTCTGGACATCACTCGGCCACTGACCCACCTCTAGAATTTGGAGGAATCTCATCACTAGGGTGTCTCAGTCTCCTGATCTGTAACGTGTGGGAGCAAATAAGATGGGCACCGAATCCTCCTTTGACCTGAATATCCTGCTATCATTTCAACCCCTCTCTTCATCAAGAACTACCACTGAAGCAACACAAAGAGGCAGAGGAAAAAAAAAAAAAGCACAAAGAAGAGTGCATTGTAAAACTTTGTCACTTTTTACCTAACTGGAATGTGTGAAAAGTTTCAAACCAAAACAGGTGAATTTTAAGGCTGAGGGGAAATTTTCATGAAGATCTACTTCAACCTTCTCTCATCGCAGATACGAAAACCAAGGGCTACAATGATATCTCTCCCAGCATCACAGAGCGCAGTCAAGACTAGAAATCAAGTTCAACTGCCTCGCTGCACAAATACCTGGTGATCTGGTGGTGAAAAAAACAAAATCTAACTGTACACACTTGTGGTTAAACTTGCACCGAAATACAATTACACTCATTAGAAAAGGAGAGCATGCTGCTGGCTAAAATTTAGGTGCAAGTTTATCTTTCCTTCAGAGTTTATGGTCTCTTTATATATGCAACAGGTGCTCAATATAAATTTGGTATAAATAACAATGTACTCTGCAAAGGCCCTTGAAGATGGGTACTAAACTAGTATATCTCTATGCTCCAGATATGCTGCAAGCGTGCCGCTGGACCCTAGCCTTTCTCTGCTTAAATCACATAGATAGTTTCCACTGCCTTCAGGATAATTATCAGACTTCTCACTGTGACCTGAAGGCCTTCGTGACCTGACCACTGCCTCACTTCTGCAGCTGTATCTCTACCTGTTGCTCACCCCCCAGCCACTTGTGTTTCTCAACCATATTGATCTAGTTGCAGTTTCACAAGCACAGGCCTCTCTCTCTTGTTTCTCCACTCCTCTCATTTTTCACCTGCCCCCATTTCCTATTCATCCTTCAAGTTCTGTATTTTACATCACTTCTTCCATAAAGCCTTATATTTGACCTTTCTACAGCCAAGTTGCGCTTTTTAGGTAGCTCTAGCAGTAAAGAAACCCCTGCCAATGCAGGAGACATAAGAGAGCCGGGTTCGATCCCTGGGTTGGGAAGATCCCCCGGAGAAGGGCATGGCAACCCAGCCCAGTATTCTTGCCTGGAGAATCCCATGGGCAGAGGAGCCTGGTGGGCTACAGTCCACGGCGTTGCAAAGAGTCGGACACGACTGAAGCGACTTAGCACACGCTCACGCACAACCTAGTTAGTTGATGCTGGTGCTTACATCCACCTGATGATTACTTTACTATATTGTACTTGCGTTTCATTCATCTGTCTCTCCCACTACCCAGGAAGCTTGCTAAGAAAAGGACTTTTCTTCTTCTCCATCAAATTTCCCATAGCACTGTGATAGATGCTCGAAAAAATATCTGTCAAATAAATTAATATCAAAACAGGTGAAATTATTACTACATTACCATGAATTCCTGCACTCGTGGATATTTTAAAGGACTGAACATGTGTCCTTACAATTCACATAATAAAGGGTCTTTTTCTTTAAAAGTCTTTTCTTTATACTCATAGACCCATTAACTTTCCCAGGATCCTTGGAGCATCTTCAAATTTATGAGATTTGCTAACTGAGGTATGAATCCCGGCTGTTGGCTAGGATCACCACTACTAAAATTTACTACTGCACTCCAGTCTTGTAGAATAATCAATTCCAGTGTTCCCTGGAAGTCTACTGAAGAGAGTGCTTAGGAGCTAAATCCTGGCGCCCGACTACTTGTTAAGTCTGTTCTCTGCCACTTAATGTAACCTCAAGCAAGTTGTTTCACCTCTCACTATGCTCCAATTTCCTCATCTATAAAGAGAGATAAAATATTATTACCTATTTCATAGAGCCATTGGAGTTAAATTATATGTAAATTACATATGTAAAAATCTTATAACAGTAGGAACTGTTCAATACTTGCTTAACATTTCTGTGATGATAATGATCACCATAATCAGTATCCCTAAACATTTTATATGTATTATCTCATTTAATCTTCACAAAAACTTAATAAAGGCAATATAATCTCCATCACAACTTAATACATGAAAACTTGTAATGTCATTATGTGATTGTAATATCATTGTGAACTTCTGGATGTTGCAAGAGTTGTGTCTATAAATGTCAAGATTCTACTATATATTCTCTCTCCACCTCACCTCTCTATCCTCTAAAGATAATTGCACCTCAACCATCCTCATTCTACTAAAGTTAATATGATTAAAATTAAGACAATTCTCTCAGTTACCCACAAGCACAAAGCTTTGGAATGATCTTCAGCGTGTCTCTCTGCCCAACAGGCAACCAATTCTCTTCTTTAATATCTCTTGTATCCCACTCACCTTTCCATTCCTACTTTTGCCCTCTTCACTCAGGTCCTCATCAGCTGAAAACCAGATGGCTGCACATTTAATAACTTTTGTTCTTAGTTTTAAAAGCACATCAGTTTTGTAGAGATCGAGGTCTACCTTCACGTATAAATTTTTTCAATTAAACCAATAAAAGTCAACCACAAACTTCTCCCAATTTCTGTATCTCTTCTGAAAACCTCAACAAAAAAAGAAAAATAAACCAGAAAAAAAAAAAAAACTCCATTCCGAAGGTTCCTACATCAACCACATCACACAGAAGGAGTGTCTGAAATAACCCAATTTGTCTGATGGGGAACGTAAACCCCACATCAGTCTGACTTCACACTTTACTAGTGACTTATTTGTGCTTGGTTTTTTCAGGATACTTTAGCAAGAAGAGGTGCTTACTTGGTGAAACAAATTAACTTCTCTTCCACCATTTGGTTTCCACTGTACTGATAGCTTTTTTAAGGCCAATTATGCTCTGAGATATCAATAAACCTTTTTTCTCTGCAGCTCTTATAAATAAACAGATGAAAAGAAAGACCTACCTCTGGTCTCTTATAAGGTTTGTCAGTCTTTAACTGGCTAAGACTTACCTCCAATTAGATTTGTCTGATTCTTGTGACCTCTGGATCATGATGAAATAAGAAAGGAAAACAGTTCCAATGCTCATAAACTGGAGAGCATTCTGGAGAGCCATCTAAGGACTATTCTCTATGAGCTCACAACTCCAGGGAAGCCACAAAGTTTAAATTATTACCATAGCCTGACTGTATGTCCAATCTAATAGACCAAATCCTATTTTATCTTCTTGAAAATCACCTCAGAGCTAGAGATACACTTGTATGCTGTCCCCTGTATGCATCACATGCAAAAAAAAAAAAAATTGTACCCAATGTCTGCAGACACTCAGTCTACACATCAAACAGTACCTGCTTACTTTGTTAACTACAAAATAAAGTGCGCATTTTTTAAAGATGAGCATCTCACTGAGGAGGCTTCCCAGGTGGTTCAGTGGTAAAGGATCCACCCGCCAATGCAGGAGACACAGGTTCAATCCCTGGGTCAGGAAGATCCCCTGGAGAAGGAAATGGCAACCCACTCCAGTATTCTTGCTGGGAAATCCCATGGACAGAGGAGCCTGGTGGGCTACAGTCCATGGGGTCACAAAGAGTCAGACACGACTTAGCGACTAACAACAACCTCATTGAGGGGCTTTTCTGTGCCACCTTGTCCCCATGGCTGCATTTAGAGAATTATAATGCCTTTGTTTAACAGTGACACCTTGAATCCACATAACTTCTCTCTACTCTAGACTCAGAATACTTTTCTACAGATACAATTTTATTTATTCTCAAAAGATATCTATGATTCAAGAGTAAACTGTGAAAATATTGAAACCATGGAGTTAATCAGAACTTTATTTTCCCCAGATTTGAGCTTTAGGGCAAATGAGGGAGAAGGGATGGAAATTTGAAAGGAAAGGGGAACTTCTCTGGTGATCCAGGGGTTAAGACTCCATGCTTCCACTGCAGGGGGCATGGGTTTGATCTCTGGTCAGGGAACTAAGATCCCACTTGCTGTGTGGTACAGTTAAAAAAGAGATTTGAGAGGAAATTAAAATGGAAATATCTTTGTATTTAAGGAGTTCCTTTAAAATACATTAAGATAGCTTATTTGAAGATATATGTTTCCTATAAACTTATTGCATTTGATATAACAATATATTAAGTTTGAAGGCAGTAGAATCACATATAAAACTATTACTGAAATTATTTAGCCTTTCTAAGCCAATATTTAAGAAGTAGAGAAATTCCTCCTAACATAAAACACTAATTGCCTAATAGTAAAGAAAGAAAGAGAAGAAAAAATGAAACAAATAGGATGTTTGGTTTTCTGGACTTAGTGTTAACTACTTTAAAATGTTTCATTTTCATTGAATTTGCTGAGAGAAAAAAAAAAAAGACAGGGAGGATCTTCCAGAATACTCCTTTCTGCCATGGATGTTCTTTAAAATCATCTCTTACTCTGAACTTTGTTACCCTCAATGGCCTGAGTCTTCTAGTGTTCTCTTTACATCTCCACAGTCTTTTGAAAACTATCCAATGAGTTTAAGACTACTGTGCTTCAAAGTGTTCCAGTAAGTGATATTTCTAAATGCAGACAAATTACTTTCATGTTGCAAAGTCAGTTCAATCACTCGGTCATGTCCGACTCTTTGAGACACCATGGACTGCAACACACCAGACTTCCCTGTCCATCACCAGCTCCTGGAGCTTGCTCAAACTCATGCCCATTGAGTCAGGGATGCGATTCAACCATCTCATCCTCTGTCGTCCCCTTCTCCTCCTGTCTTCAATCTTTCCCAGTGTCAGAGTCTTTTCCAATGAGTCAGTTCTTCGCATCAGGTGGCCAAAGTATTGGCCAAGACTATACTTTCAGGGATCATTTCTATAGTTCATGTTGCAAAAGATGAAATAAAAACCAGACACAAGCAAGCAGAAGACTCAAGACTGGGTCATGCAGAGGGCTTGTTGCAGAAAGCCATGGCTGGATAAACTCTTGGATGATGTTGCTTGACTAAAGGCCTGGATGTGTGCTTTATTCTGCAATAAGACAATGAAATCTTTTGTTTCAAATCTAGTCAAATATGGTACCAGCTTATTACTCCCACCTCTGCTTTTGAAAAGGATGCTACTATAGATTCTTCTGGATCTCTTCTGTTAGCCCCAAATCCACCCTGTACTTTTCTCCACTGTGTACAGATCAGTACAGAAGGCTGACGTGTACAGACCAGTCCATCAGGAAGCTTCTCACACTCTGGCTTCTGGTTGGGATCTCTGGGGAGAATCCATTACAGTAGACAGGAAATCGGAGAGTAGACAGAAATCAATGCAGACTACTCCATCAGCAAGCTTCTTACACTCCCCAGTGGGAGAACCCATTAGAGCAGACAGGAAATCAGAAAGAGGAAAAGATGAAAGTCGGGTAGTCATTCACTCTGGTCCCTTCTGCAGTCACCACAGGATGGATTCAGTCCTTAGACTAAAGGCCGCAGCTCCTGTCAAGCAACCCTCTCCACGTATTTCTCTCCCTCTCAGGACTCTGAGCAGTCCTCTTCTCCTCGGTCATCTGCACTATACCTTGTGGTTTGTCTACCATCTGAACACAATGTTGTAAATAGCTCCCTTATTAAACTCTGTTCAAATTACCCAATTTCCCACCAGTACCTTGACTGACACAGATTGCATTCGACTCCCTCTCTGAGAACAAACCAAGAGGATGAAGCCATAACTACAGATCCAAAGCCAAGAAAAGGAAATCCACACAGAAGGCACGGCATCCATGTTTGGGAAAATAGCTCTGAGCTCTGAAAGCTAGGAAGTGCCCAACTCGTCTTCAAATGTTGTTCTGAAGAGTCTGCTTTTAAAATAGAATGAACAATATAATGTTTCCTATAAGGCACAAAATAATTCTGAATAAACGTCTTCAGAAATAGTTTGGTAAAATTTAAATTCTAGGTAGCAAAATACAAAATACTTGTCCTAATAACGATTTTTATGATTCCCAAATATTTTTCCCATTGAGTACTACAACACTTCCAAATATTTCGAGGGGAAATAGAAGAGAAATTTTGAAGTTTTTTTTCCCTTCCTTCTTGCTCATTAGTTTTTGTTTTGCTTTTTTTTTTTTAAGCTTTCCTATTTCTAAATAGGCAGTCATTTTTAACCTCAGTTGAGAACTGGGGAAGCTGAGGCATGCAGAGATGGCATGGCTCACCAGTATTGGAAATAAATTTCCATCAAAGGTCATCCAGTTCTTCCTAGAATTCATACCTCTCAGCCTACCTGCTGAAAATAATATGATTATCACGACTCAATGATAATATCAAGTAATTCCTGATAGAAGTTGTCCTCTGACCCACCGTGCTGATAACACTTATTCCACACACACATTTTAATAGTCCATTTGGTCCTGAGCCAAGACACAGCCCTGAGCTATGGCCCTAAATGAATTTCCCTACACTTTTCATTTCTTCTAGGGAATTGGACTAATTATAGTGACTACTTTGGAGAGAGCAATAGTTTGAAAACATTGCCTGAGGGATACAAAAGTTGTTTTATTTCATAATTAGACATTTCTGTCCCAGGGGTATTTTATAGTCATGGTTTGAAATAACAGCCATTATTTTATTACAATTTTCTATTTTTTGCACATAAAAATATTTAGAACATGTTTTTCGCTGAGTTTTATTAGTCATAATGCCAGGAAGCGCCTGGTGTTATGGATGATGGAATTATCTTTGAGGGCTTCCCTTTAGTGTTATTTCTTCCTTATAGTCTACATTCTCTCAGTGTTTGGTACTGGAACTGAAATTTAAAGTGGAAATTGAATATTCCGTCTGCTTGGGAAAGTGACCTGAACATGAGGATAAAGTGGACCCCACCCCTATGTCTTTCCAATCCCTTGCCCCTAGTCAGCACTATATCTTCTTTGCCACATGTGCACCTACTTATACCATGGTTAATGCTATATTAAGAAGAACTAGAAACATGGAATCAATTCAGCAGGCACAGATGTAACAACTCAAAAACAACTGGTGTTAAATAATGCCCTTATCAAGCAATTGGATTAAACCTCCCTCTTGGGAGATCTAATAACCACAAGGTTGTTTGTATGCACTGGAACACACACACACATGTAGAAAATAGGATAATGACGTCATGGAAATAGAAGGGGTTGTCTCATAAACCTGGGCAGTTCTTTAATACAAAACAGGAATTGCCTCTATAATATCTATTAAATGTTTACATAAATTCCTCTAGCAACAAGGCACACATTTCCTTACAACACACACCGTACTAGTTCTCTATGAGAATATTATTATGTAGAAACGAAAATCTTATTTCCTCTTCACTTCTGCACACTGATACCAGTTCTCCCCTTTGGGGATACATAGAAAAGTCTTAATCCTTCTAATACATGACAGCCCTATAAATGTTTGGAAAATAGTTATCAATCATTTATGGTGAAGAATATTATTTTTTGCTAGCTGGTACCCATCCTTCTTCTTACCCTTCTTCCAATAACAGCATCTAATTTTCCTTCCCTGT